CCTCTCTGAAGATTATGGGTGTTGGGTAAAGACCTGCAAACCACGTCGAGTGAGAACTAGAAATGAGTGCCCTAGACCTCTCTGCAGGCTGCTGAAGTCCTGGACCTGCAAATCTAAATATAGAAGCTTAAAAATAGTGACAAGCGCCCCACAGACATTATGAGCAGGAGCTGCTGAGACAGCCCAGGGCCACAAGCTGCTTTGTTTTGCTACTGTTTTTTCGGGGGGGGGGGGTGTTTTTTTAAGCCAATATTTACAAGCTAGAGAATTTGAGATCAGGTAGAAAATGAGACTTTCTGAGCCCCAGAAATGTCCTGGTATAGTACAAAACACAAGTCTCTGCCTGAAGGTTTTGGAGCAAGGGAAGGTTCTGAAACATTTTATGCTCTCACAGAACGTTAAGTAATGCAGGAAAAAAAATTATTTTTCAAAAAGCTCTAAAATTGCTGGAAAATGAGCTAGTAAAGAGAACAGCTCTGCTTGTAGAAGCCCAATAGGAGAGCACAAACCTGAAACTGCAAGATTGGTTGGGGCGGCAGTAGTTGGAATGTTTTTTCACTTTCTGTTCCTTCTCGAAACTGCCAGAAGTACATTTGGTACCAGGATAGGAAATTCCTGTTCCTCCTTGCTGGGCTCACACACTTGAGATGTTTGTGGAGGGGTATCAGGCCCCACCCCTCTCCCTGGAGAAGCGACTATGCCAAACAGGAGTCTCCCCTGCCTGGCAGGCGGCTCCCACATCATTAACTCTGCCCTGTGTTGGCTCTGCGTGGCTGTGTGACATTCAGTCCACAGGGACACAAAAACAGATACAGCAGATGAATTAATGGTTTTGGTTTGAGCTGTTTGGGCAGGATGAGCAATTCTTAGGAGATATTTAAGCAGAGAGAGTCCTGGATCTCATAACAAACTTATTTTTTGGCCTTGAATTTCTCTCTCGCTGTTGCCAAATGGTACATTGTTTGACCCAAAAAAAAAAAAAAAAATCATTATTTTCCAAGTTTAAATCTGCTGCTTGTTCATATTCCCCAAGAACTCCATAATCAGCTATTTTTACACTGATTTTGTTATTTTTAGTTGTTGAAATCATTAGGCTGACAAAAGCCCCTCCCCCACCAGAGGTTGGGGCTCCAAACCAGTGTTTTCCTCCTGAACTCCAGCTCCTATTTAAGCATGGCCTACTTTCCGCCTGCACTTCCCCATTAGCCCCATGGTAATTTGTCAAGCTCAGTCTAATCTCCTTAATCCCTCTGGCTGAAGGATTTTGAGGTTTAATGTTTTAATCTAGGGGCCTCAGTATTTAAGTAATTAGAGGTCATATTCCTAGCTGGCTCCTTTAGGTAAATTACCTTAGTTTGCTTTTGAGTTCTAATTTATAAATAACAGAATTCTAAGAATTCACAGTGCGCAAGAACCTGGAGCTTTGGACTGAGTGTACAAATTAAGGAGAGCGCCTCTAGCCTTCATTCTTAAGAGCCTCAAGCCCGTGGATGGCCCCTGGAGCCCACTTTCGATTTACTCTTCCTTTAATTATCCCTATGTACGGGCTACAGTGTGGTAACTCAAAACACCTGCAGAAGGTGTCAGCATTATCAAGTCAGGAGTTAAGTGTTTCCATCTCCTTACATACTTCAAAATGTTGAAGTGAAATGTAGCAAGTGCTGGTGCGTGCTGGTGCGTGTACTTGTGAAAAGGGTGACATTTCAATACATGTTGACAATGTGCACTAGCCAAACGTGGTAATTCACATTTGCATCTCTTTATTACATCACGTTTGGAGGCCGCGAATAGAATCAGCGTTTAAAGTCCTCTACTTAGAGCCAACACTTGCTGCTACCTTTCACAAGTATTTTGTTTGTTGCTTTGTGGAATGCTGCTATACTTAGAATTCCTTAAGTTATTTCCAACATTTTTTTCATGCCTGTGAACTTAGGAGCTTTCGGAAAGAATTATTTCTCTATCAGTTAATCTGGACATTCTTCTTACAAAATGTTTAAAAGGTCTTTCCTGTCGGGAACAATTAATTTAGTGACAGAAGGATTCACAGTCTTTCACTCAACATTTCAGCTTTTTCTGTCAGCACACATTGCAAATCCAGAGAAAATGGCCAAACCCAAAATGGTATAAAAAATGGGTTAAGTAGTCACTCTGAAATATTATTGTCCTAAACAAGGTAACAAGCATGTGTGCCCTGTGCTGGGGGCTCCTGGTACTGACTCATGTAAGCTCACAGATCCCACGCAGGAAGCCTTGGCACCCAAGCCTTACAGAGGCTAAAAGACCCTTTGGGCAGACTCCTGAGCCTCTTCTGCTGTGGGAGCCCACACAGACTCATGTGTAGCCTCTGGCAGAGTTCTGTCACTGGGCACAGCACCTTAATTGCTTTGTTTCTACATCAGAGAGCTGCTCTTACCAGGCAGTCCTGGTGCAGAGACCTGCCTGCCTCTCCGCCTCCCTGCCGGGATCAAAGATGAGCACCCTCACACCAGGCCCCATGCTCTTTCTTCCCAGAGTTGAATACTGAAGCTCTCTGGGTATTAGTGAAAGTAATTTCCTGACTAAAGATTTTAGGAGAAATTAAAAGGAGAGAACTTGAGTAGTGGTGTCTAGCATCTGCTCTGGGAGAATGAAGCAGGGACAGAGCAGTGCAGAGCCGCTAGGAAACGAGCAGGCAGGACCAAACCTTATTGCTGAAATTCATTACTCACTTACTGAGGGATTTACAAGAGAACATCTAACTAATAAAACTGTCTGTTTTGTTTTTTTAAGATTTACTTTTTATTTATATAGTGTTCTGCCTGCATGTGTGCCTCCACACCAGAAGAGGGCACCAGAGCTCACTACAGATGGTTGTGAGCCACCATTTGGTTGCTGGGAATTGAACTCAGGACCTTTGGAAGAACAGCCAGTGCTCTTAACCGCTGAGCCAACCATACTGTGTAGTCACTTTACTCATCTGTGAAGACCCAAGAAGGTGCTTTGAGCACCTCCTGAGACACTGCATCCACAAGATGGGTGGGGCAGGTTAGACTGAGATGTGAGCTCAGCCTTAAGAGGAGATGGCTCAGAGGACAGAGGAGCCTGCTGCCAAGCCTAGCAGACAACCTGACTTCAGTCCAGAATCCACACTGTGGAAGGGGAGAACCAACTCCAGCCAGTGGAAAAGAGTTTGAAGTGCAGCACAGAGCCTAAAGCACAGAGCTTGCAGCAAGCTCTGGATCAGTTTCACCCCAAGACTGGTTCTCCCTCGGCCCAGAAGCAGATGCGAGTTTCTGAAGGTTCTATTAATCCTCTCACTGTTTGGGAGCTGAGTAAAACTCAAAAACATGTTTCTTCAAAACCAAAAGTTGGTACCTAAAGTGGCATACTTCTCTGAGTTGTCCCAAGGCACCACTTAGATTTTCTGGCTAAGGGCCCACAATGCCTTCTTAAAAAAAAAAAAAAAAGGGCCTATAGGGTCTCCCTATGTAGCCCTGGCTGACCTGAAACTACAAAGACCAGACTGACCTCAAACCCACAGCAGTCCACCTGCCTCTGCCTGGGATGGAAGGTGTGAGCCCACACTGTTTGGCTTCCTCTCCCCCCTTTGGAGGGTTGCACACTGGGTTTGAGAAGACAGGGTCTGGACCCCAGGGTGGGCACAGCTGCTCCCTGGTAATCCCAGCACACTGCAGTGTGCCAGAGGCAGTGGGAGATCAGAGGAGCAGCTTGGTGGAAATGAAGACAGAGCTTGGTGAAAGGCCCTGCTCTATTTGAAAGGGTGGCAGGATTGAGAGAGGCATGGGCAAACTGTTCCTCAAGCCACAAACCATGACTGCCTTCTGATTTTCACCAACTAAAACAAATAAACTAAAGATGGGGGAGGAGTGGAAAAAGAAAACCCACACTAAAGCCTACAAACCCTTTCAGGAAGACCAATCAATAAAAGTGATTAGATGGGGGCTGGAGAGATGGCCCAGGAGTTGAGCACTGCCTGCTCTTCCAGGACCTGGATTCAATTCCCAGCACCCACAGCTCACAACCACCTGTAACTCCAGTTGCAGGGGACCTGACACCCTCACACAGACTCGTGCAGGCAAAACACCAATGCATATCAAATAAAAAATAAATTATTGAAAAGAAAGACAGACAGACATGGGATGTCAACCTCGGGCTTGCACAGGCACCTTCACCCTACACACACACACACACACACACACGCATATACTGGAATGCACACAGTCTACGTATATCCCATACACAAATACATACACCAATAAAATAGTGTTACTTTCAGACATTACATAAAACTGGGTGACTCAAAGGTCTTTGAGCAATGGATACGCAAGTCAGAATGTCAAGGCAACAGAAGGGACCAAACCACAGCCTTCTACAGAAACAGGTGAGATTTGGTTCATGTCACCCGAGCACGCACGCACTCAGGGCAGCCCCCGGGGGGGTGAAGTGAGGGGGCCTCAGGAGAATTGCTGTCTCCCCGGTACTGTGTGTGGAGTGTGATACATACATGCACCTGCATTACCAACCTTCTTAATCAGCCTGGTACATATCATCCATACCTATAGTCTGTAAAACGTTACTTGTATGCTATACCTTCTTTAAAAAAAAAAAAAAAAAAAAATCAAGAAAAAACATTTCTTCTACTCCTTCCTGTGACAATGGCAGCCTTGTGCGTGTGATAAGAACTGGGGTTCATGCACTATCACTGATACCTGAAACTGGTACTAAGTTCTCTAAAATTAAGATTAAGGGCTGGAGAGTTGGCACAGAGGTTCGGGAGAATTGGCTGCTTTTCCAAGGGGCTTGGGCTCAGTTCTCAACAGCTACAGTTACAACCATGTGTTAGTCTGCTTTTAGGGAATCTGATGCCCTCTTCCGGCCTCCTCAAGTACCAGGCATGCAGGTAGTGGGCACACACACACACACACACACACACACACAAAACAGCCAAGCACATAAAAAAATAAAAAAATAAAAAAGAGGCAAGAATTCCTGACACTCACCTCCACCGACTGCGAGGGCATCCTTAGTCTGGCCAGCTTGGCTTTGGCAGGCACTTTAAGGTCTGGTTTCTCAAAACTTTGCTGACCATAGTCCTCCAGTGGCGGCTTCAGCTCAGGGGACTCGGTGGGAGCCTGATCCTGACCGTCCATGGGCCGGACGTACGCCGTGGGCTTCTGCTGCATTGCAACACTTTTGGAGGGGAGGGGAGGGGGTGGAAATGTCTGACAAGGTGGTTGGGGGGCCACTCCGAGGCTGGTGACTGCCACCAAACTGTCGTGAGGAGTCTCTTTATCCTGGCCCTTCACCACCAGGTCCTTGGAAGACGTGGCTGCACAGTAGCTTTTACTGCTGGTGCCAGTGCTGTGAGCCTTGCTGGCTCCTTGCAGCCTGGAATGTACAGGTGACAAAGGGGTCACCGGGGATGGCAAAGAGACTGAGGGCGAGAGCTTCCGCTCCGGGGCCGAGTCTCCGTCAGCTCTGCGGTCACACGTTCTGGAACAATGGCCCTGACTGAGGCGATCCTGAGGCAGATGTGGGCCGTCGGGCGTACCGTAGCTTTTGGCATGGAGGCTTGGCACTGGTTCCATCCTTGGCTGTGCCATCTTTGGACTGTGGCTAATGTTGCTGACGGAAAGTGACCCAGGGGCGGAAGTGTGGGTAGGCTGGTGGTAGACGTGTGTGCGGAAGGAGCTGGGTGCCACGCTGCTGCCTCTGTCGTGGAAGGAAGGGTACCTCGGCTTCCCTGGCCTGTCTTCGGAGCCACCCAGGTGCGGGGGGCAGGACTTGGTGCTCAGGAACTCCTTCATCTCCTCATAGTCGCCTAGCATGTTCTGGATCCGGCTCGACAGCTCATCGCCTTTTGCAGTCTGCAAAACAGAAAGGCAGCAGACTTGAACACGGCAGGAACAAATCTAGGCAGAGGAATGAATGGCTAATCAATTATGCAATATATTGAGGAGGACCCCTCTCCAGTCAATGTGTAATACAGTGTTAGCTCGCTTCCCCACGGAGGAGCCTGCCGTGTTTCTAATTACAGGAGACTAAGGAAACCACACACTTTGGCAATTCTGACTAACAGTGTTCAAAGGGTTTTCAGACTTTGTTTTCAAAAACAACCCCTGGAGAAGTTGTTTTCTCGGCTGTGACTCCTGGCTGACCTCGGCGCCATGGAATAACGTTATCGTCAGGCTTAGAGCTGTGACTGGCCAGGCGGCCTCGCGCACTGGACGCACCTTGTAGGGCTCTGCGAACAGCGGGGCCTTCTCGGGGAACAGCACTTTCTCCTGGGGAGCTTCTTGGGTGCGTCTTTCCTTCTCTCTGATTCGAAGCAGGTTTCTATCTTCATTGTACAGGCTTTTCCAGATGCCACAAAGGAAAAAAATATATATATTACTATAAAGTGTCCACGTTTTATTGAGCGCAGAGTGTGGAAGGAGGCAAGAAAAAGTAGTGACAGCACGTAACTAAAGAACGTAGGGCCGGGACTGCAGAGATGGCTCGTTTCATGCGGCTCACGCCTGCGAATAAGCCAAGCTCCAAGTCTAATACCTCTCCTGGCCTCTATGGGTACCTGTGGGTGTGTGCGAGCACACTCACACCCACAAACCCACCCACCAAGTACAGACAAATCACTCTCTCTCACACACACATTTCAAAATAGAAAAGGATGAAGGAGAAAGAGACAGTGGGAAGAAGGAGCACTGGTAATCCCATTTAGCTTCATTCTCAGCCTGCTCCGGCAAGTGTCTTAGCATATAGACCCAGAAGGACGGCTTTCACTTATTTTAAATGTCAAGGATGATCAGTCCAATTATATGTCGGTTCTACACGCCAAGAGTGCCACACAATCAAATCTGAAGCACATAAAATGTGCCACGCCAGAGACAAATTCTCAAAGGAAGCCAATTTCAGCCACACCTAAGGCCCACTGTCGGTAACATGCCTGCTCCCTGCGGACACTCCTGGGTGAGGCACATTTTAGAGTGGAACAGTAGAAAGGGTTTGCAGACCCGCTTCTGGAGAACTGCTAAGACTTCCCTCCCGACTCTACTTGAATAGGCTGTTTCTATCTATCCAGATTTCAGACACCTCAGATGCCTTCTCCATTGCCCTCTGCTGTTCTTCACAGTTCCTCTTCCTCTGACGGGAGCCTGCAGGTCTCCCTGACTCAGCTTACTCCTAATTCAGCCTTCCTATCAAAGGACAGGTGGGACCTAGGGCCCTGATTCATGTGTCATTGTCCACAACTCAATTCGCAATCATCTGACGGTTCCTTGTGCTGGCTTTGGCAACAGAATTCCCTCATAATCTGGTTGGGATGCCACAGCTGTCCTGCAGGCCTATCACGGCTGCTCCACTTGGACACCCCTCATTGCCCAAGCATACCCTGTGAGAGCCGGGCCCTTCTAATCCCACTCAGATCTCCTCCTTCTGAGAGACAGCCATTCCTCCAGGACTGCCCTACTGGACGACTCTGTCAACCAGCCATCCTCAGACCAGAGCCTGCTCTAACCCTGGAAGTTGCTGCTTTCACTCCTATCACAAATCTCTCACCCCTCTCTCCCACCACCACATACACCATCACCAACTTTCAGTTTCCAACAGATTCGATGAATGAAATCTTCCCGATTTAAAGATGCCCCTCCCTCAAAACACATCATTGTCCTCACTCCCTTCAGCCTGTCCCCTTGAATATGAGTTCCATCAGAACAGAACCTCCCAGCTTCAATGTCTTGGTACCAAAATGTGATGCTTTGTATGGAAGGTTGGTTTTGTTTTGTTTTGAGGGGGGGTTGTTTTTTTGTTTGTTTGTTTTCAAGACCGGGTTTCTCTGTGTAGCCTTGGCTGGCCTGGAACCCAGATATCCACCTGCCTCTGCCTCCCTGAGTGCTGGGATCACAGGTGTGCGTGCGGCACTGCTCCCGGCTTCTCTGCATGGAAGTTAATAACATATTTTTGTATTAATGCACAGTCATTATGCTTGCAGTACTTATTTTTAAATTAAACTTCCTTTGGAAATTTTTTCTTAGGTTTAATGCTGGAAGAAATACGCAAAAGTAATTTAAGAAAACAAGTCAACTTAAAATTTTTCTATTTCTTTTAAACTGGGGAAAAGGAACAAACTATCAGATCGAATTTGATAGGACTGCTCGAGAATTTTCTACTTAAAACTAAGTGTGGTGGCTCACATCTGTAATCCCACTCAGAGGCTCAAGCTCAGGAGTTTGAGGCTAGCCTGGGCTACATAGTCACTTCCAGGCCAGCCTGGGCTAGGGTGAGACCCTGTCTCAAACATAAAAATTTAGAAAGAGTAACAGTAATCATATGCTTAGACCATTGTATCAAGCGTTAACTGAGCAGCAAGTTCTCAGCATCTCAACAGCGCCTGGTACCCCAGCTCTGGCCTTGGTGAGCTGTGCACACACGTGATGCACATAAATCTAGGCAGCCTCATGCACACAGAATAAAAATAATACAAGAGTCTTTTTTTAAAACAAACTTCATCTGGGTGTAGTGGCGCACATCATGGATCCTGGAATCAGGAGGCGAAGGCAAATAGGAGTTCTGTGAGTTCAAGGCCAGCCTGGTCTACAAAGCAAAAGCAGCAAGGGCTACACAGCAAAACCCTGTCTCGAAAAACAAGCAAGCAAGCAGGCAATGAAAGATTTTTAAAAATTTTTTAAAAGCCTTCAAAGATGACAGATATCATGAACTCAGAGCTGCAAAGGCCATTTTATGCTAGTTGACACACTCAAAGAAGATAAACTAAAATATAAATAAGAAACTAAAATATAAGCTGGACTGTAATCCCAGCACTTGGGGAGGTAGAGGCAGGTGAACCTCTGTGAGATAGAGGCTAGCCGGGTCTACAAATCGAGTCCAGGATAGCCAGGTTTACACAGAGAAACCTTGTCTTGAAGAAAAAACAAAACAAAAATAAAATATACTAAGATTCTTTTCTTATAAGAACAGGGATTGCCAGACAGTGTTACAAGGCACATGCTTTTAATCCTAGCACTTGGGAGACAGAAGCAGGTGGATCTCTGTGAGTTCAAGGCCAGCCTGGTCTACAAAGGGAGTCCAGGACAGTCAAGACTATACAGAGAAACCCTGTGTCCAAACACAACAACAAAAACCAGGGATCTTTCACAGGAAAGGGAATTGGGGTAGTGGATGGATTGAGGCATCGGGACCAGGTTTGACTAAGTAGCCCTGACTTTCCTGTAACTCTCTATACAGAGTGTCTGACCTTGAACTCACAGAGATACACCTGCCTTTGTCCCAAGTGCTGGTATTAAAGGGTGTGTCACCACGCCCAGACAATTCAGCCTTTTCTGCCTAGAGCAGCTTGACACTCTAATTCCTGTCCACCGCTGAGTGGTTCTGTGTTCTCCTTCTGGTTCAAATAGCCACTTGCCATTAGCATGCAACCAGGAAAGCACACAGGAGCACATGTCAGCACAAAACTTTGGGCCAGTTTGGTAGGGGCATGGGACCAACCTCTGAGCAACTTGAACCCCTCCTAAGCTCTTCCTCCCATGTGGCTAAACCAGACTGTAGCCAGAGCAGCCAGGCAGTGGGCACATGGCCCCAAACTCAACACACAGAGTTCTGCCCACCGTCCAGAAGTCCCTGCCTGTCCCAGCAAGACAGTCTGGGCTGAAAACAGAGGTGTGATGGAAGGACTGCCACCCACAGGCTGCCAATCACTCTTTTCATTTCCACATCAATTCCTCACGCAATTATCACTGAGCTAAGTTACACTGTGCACATAACAGCACGCCTCGGTCCCACCGGCATCAGGCAGGTCCCACCGTTCTCTGAGTTTTCAGCCTGAACTAATGACAACTAATGTACAGATAACCTTGAAAGCCTAACAAGGTCATTTTAAACAAGAACTACAACTCTAACTAAAACTAGAGAGCTTCCCACAGAAAAGAACAGGATTAAGTTACGGACTCTGGTTAATTAGTTAGAAGGGCAGGCAGGTGCACACCATTAATCCCAGCACGTAGGAGGCAGAGGCAAGTGGATCTCAGAGTTCCAGGGCAGCCAGGGCTACGTGGAGAGACCGCCCCCCCCCCCTCAGGAAAAATAAAAAATAATTAGAAGCGCATACCAAAATTTTACTGGCATACATATGTATCGCTGGGCCAGTCTCGTTTGAATGAGTTTAACTCACTATTGCTGCTCAACTGAAATGCTTAAAAGCTGTGAGGGGAGCGGAGACAGCATCCTGGCTGGGTCCCAGTGCAGACTGGGGACTCACTGAGGATGTCTGAAGTCTCTCAAGGAACCAGTTCACAGAGGCGCTCAGGCCAGGCTGGGAACCCATTCCAGGGTCTTGCCAACCATGCTGGGCAGGCTCTGGTCTGCTCCAGTCTTCCACTTCCAGACCTGCCGTAGCTGAAGTGTTCTTCCTGGAAATATTTTCCTAGCCCTTCTGAAATGAGGGGCAAGGTGAAATGGCACCCTCCTCGGCATGAGTGGAGACCCCTTCAGGGCACACCCGGGAGAGGGTGTGCAGTGTGGGAGGCACACACACCTGCAGTGTGCACACACAGCTCTGTAGAGACTTCACTCCCTGCCACCTTTATGTGAGTTCCAGGAAGTATGTGTTCTCACCCGCCAGCGAGCAGGATCCTTTCTTACTGACTGTAACTCTTGCCACTGGCAGTGCGCACACATATGGGATCATGGCTGGATTGGCACAAGTAATGACAAAGGACTACTCTCTGGCAATGTTTCTCTCCTTTGGCCTCTATGTGGTAATCGAACTCAGGCTGCCAGGCTTACTTGGCAGAACCAGTCCACAGCACCAGCCTGGAAGAACTTTTTTCTTTTTTTCTTTTTTTTCTTTAAGATTTACTTATTATGTATACAGTGTTCTACACTGCATGTCAGAAGAGGGCACCAGATTATAGATGGTTGGGAGCCACCATGTGGGTGCTGAGAATTGAACTCAGGACCTTTGGAAGAGCAGCCAGTGCTCTTAACCTCTGAGCCATCTCAGAGAACTTTTAAATGAGGGGATTTTGGGGAAACAGCAAAGGTCTCAGGAATTCTCACTATAATTACTGTTGAATAATTACAAGTTAACTAGGCTTTAATTAAAGGCAACCACCTCCCCCAGGAGAAGCTGACATTTAAACAGCACCAGGCAGAGGGAGGTCCTTGCTGATGGCCACAGCACTCTGCAATACCCCAGCCTCCAGTGAGCACTGGGGCAGATCACAGAGCCCCAGTCTGCAGGACAGAGGATGTGCCTGCCCGGTGAAGAGGAGTGCTGAGAACATCGGTGCTGGGGGCAGCGGCTATGGCCGGCCTCACCTTGCTGGCCCTCAGCCTGCAGT